CTTATGAGAGACTCTTTTAACCTCTCCCAATTTATTTTCTTATTTTTATATTTATATACTTCTTCGTTTATTTTCTCAATAGTTACATTTATTTCTATAGTAATAGGGAAGTGGTTACTTCCCCAAGAATCTTCACCCACTTGCCAACTAGAATTAAATGCTATATTCATAGATGCAAAAGTGAAATCTATATTTGAATATTTAATTGAGGAATTATCATTGTAGTCATTAAAAATGTGTTGGATCATTGGTATTTAGAAGGAAGTATTAATCAAAGTCAAGACTTTCAGCCAATACTCTACCATTTAGACAAGTCCTGGTAGTTCCCCGCAGAAAGTTATGACTACTGAAATCTTCAAGCAAAACAAATTTACCATAATTACTAATCTTACCTGACAATGACGTCAGTTCTCTCTGATTTAAGTTGCTACCTGCTATAGGAGTTCTATAGCAGGCTACTATACAAATTTCCCCCCATTAGTACGAATAGAAATTACTCGAATTTCCAAGCTATCAAGATTAAGATTCCAATCCAAAACATCAAAAACTATATTATTTTTAACGAACCTTACAGTACCTCTTCTTTCTCCCGATTCTCTATCAACTCAAACTGCATCGTATCCTTGTATGCTATATCTGTTTTTGGGTTTTAGAAAACTCAACAATTACCAAAATATCATACTCCTGACTAACATTATGGATGTCTAGTTTGTTCTTAATTCCTCTTGCATTACACTGCAAGATTTTTAATTGACTTTGATTATTGCTTAAATTATGCATTTTAAATTTTAGAAAATTATAAACTTGAACTCTTATAAATTATTAATAGAAGTTAGCCAGGTACAGGTAACCTTGTTAATTGTATATATAATTATAAATTTTTCAAAATTAAAAGTACTTAAACATAAAAGCTTATTTTTACCATACTAATTTTACTAAATTGATACTGATACTTTTACTATTGCAAACTTCATCATTGTAAAAGTCTTGAATCAGATGGTTTCTTTCTTCACTAAGCGGTGGGCAAATAAGTTGCCTTATTGCTACTGCGGCAGTTTTCTCTTCTACGGTGTATTTTTTTGACAATTTACTTTTTGATTGACTTCTCCTTGGACTACTAGTTTGATCTTTCTTTGACTGTCTTGTGTTTACACGTTTGGTATTTTGGCTATTTGCTTGAGTAATTTGATTGGATTCTTTGGCTTTATTATCTTTGCTACGTTCCATGTTGACTATACCTGTTGTTCCTTTCTTTTACACTTGACTGAATTTTCTTTTAATATTTTCAAATAAGTAATCTCTCTCAGCCTCACAAAGTTTCGAGAAATTCTCTTTGTTCCTTAGAGAGGCTGCTTCTCCAAAAACCTTCTTTCTAGCTTCTGTCAGAGACTTGCCATCATACGCAACAAGGACATCAACCTTGTAATGGCATTGATATAGACTGGACATTTAGAGTCTATACTCTTGTGATCTCCCTGGCAGTTTTTACACCTTGGATATGTTTCACAAGGCAAGCCCTTATGTTTCTTATTTCCGCTCATGTATCCGCTTTTTATAATCCACTTGTTATTACCATTGTTAGCAAATTTATGACGCATATTAAGTCTTTTCACACTATTAATTTTAACTTTTGATTTAAACTCATTATAGAGCCTTTCTTCTGACTAGTCAGTAAGAATATGTTTAATTATACCTCTGCTTATTCGGCGAAAAGAAGGAATAAACACTTAAAGGTTACGTTGAGCTAGCATGGTATCCTGAATGATCTTGTTGGCCTTCTGCTAATTCTTACACACTACCTCAACATTTTTATATCCTCTTTGCTTGACCACCATAAACATATTTTAAAACTACTCCAACACTAATTTTATTTATTTTTTAACCGTCTTGCTTAAGCTTAGTCATCCATACAGTAATGGACCTTTGTTGTCAGTGCCATAGATATATGTATAAAGATTAGTATTTTTTTCTCCATATTGATTAAAACTTTTTTCTGTCCTACTGATCTTGGCGCTCTTCGGGCTAACTGTTTGTACTGGTTGCCGCCATTTTTTCTTGAGCACGTTGTCTTTCTTGTTATTGCTTCTTTCGACTCTTGATTTCTTTTTTACTCATTTCCCCGATCATTAGAGCCTTTGATCTGAGCATCTGCTTTCAAATATTCACTTCTTCTTTTTTTATCGCCTAGGTCAACTTCCATACCACTATCATCATCACCTTTATTAGTTGGCATGCCCACCCTTGCCACCCGCACGCGGGGGCGAATTACCCCAAGACCAATCCACTATCTGCAGAGGAATAGTCACTAAGTCCCAACGACTTACCAGTTACCACACAGCCAAAAAACAAATTTCACAATATCACGGTAATCAAAATCAATAATGATCAGTTAATCAATAGGCATGATCAGACAACATACGTCCGCCTCCTTCGGCGTCTGTAGTCCCTCTTGCACTAAAGCTGCAGTAGTGTAGCAGTGCCACCTTCTGGATAATTTCCACCACGAATCTCTCTCAGTGTACCTCTCCTACTGCTTTTACTGTGACTTCTGCTACTGCAACTAGTACTCCAACTATAATTGCTGTAGAATGAGCCGAAAATGTTTAACGTCAATAAGTTGTAGAAAAAACTAACACCCATAATAATACTGTAGGATGAGTCGTACAGCTAGTTGTACATTGTTTGGTACTGTAAAAATAAAGAAATATATAAATAAAAATCCACTAAAACCACTTACGCTAAATAATAAATCTTGTTGATTTAAGTAGCACTTACTTACCCGTAGACATTATTTAAAACACATTTGCTAAATATGATTGTTAAAATTCTTTGTATTTAAAATACTTCATTTAAAATATTGTATTTGAAATGAAGCATGTAGATTAAAAAATTTTGGTTTTATATATTTAAAATATCAAAATAAAAATACTGAAAATTTTTGTTAAAATAATTTTAAAAACTTGCAACTGCTATTTTGTATAATGGTTATTGAATTAAAAATATAATTGTATTTAGTAAATCAGGTAAATTGTGTAATAAGGCTAAATTGGACCTGTACGGGAATTTAAAATGGTAGTTAAAAATAATTGTATGTTTTTGATAACGAAATTTTATCTAACTATTACTTAATTTTTATTTTCTGCTGTGTGAGCAAAAAGCAGAAAGTGTCTTACGCTGGTAAGCTGCAGAAAAAACTGACCTCTAAACTACAACCTGATAATGAGTAAAACAGTTATTTGTACATTGCTTATTACTTTAGAAGAAAAACCAACACTACTATTACTTCTCACGTTGTATAATGAAGCCTCAGAATTTGTATTACTTTTACTTAGTGTATTTTAATTAGTAGGGCTATTATAATACACAGTTTTCGTGTCTAATTATTTTTAGATTTAGTTTTTTGAAGTATCATTCTTGTCAATTTAAAATTCAAAACAACAAAACGAGAAATTTAGAAGTGTGCTAGATTTATTGCTATGATAGGTTTTTTTTTATAACCAACGTTATTTTTATTGCTATGAGGCCATATTAGCGCAGTGCTTTAGGCTGCGGTTCTTGTAGCTTGGAAGCTTGGTAGCATATTCTCTCTAGATCCAGACTTGGCTTTCACTTACTTGGTTCGCACTTCTGGGAAACTAATTTCTTAAGTGTGTTTATTATTAGTTATTGCATTAAAACTGTTCAAAATCCACCTTTAAACAATATTTCGTTTCTTCTTTGAAAATTTTTCTCTGATGAACATAAACACAGACAATTAAGCTTGTATGCTGATTTGAATAGTAAAGACGGCTTTCAAGGACGTTGTAAAGTTTCTTGCTATAAACTTCATACAATAAATTAACAAAAGGAGAATTCACAAAATTACACTTTATCTATAAATAAATCTTCTAGCAAGAATAAATATAAACTCTGAATGCAAATAAAACGTTTGACTTGAGGTGACACGCATAAAGATTAACTAACTGAAAAATAATAGCTGTCTTATGAAACTCCTTTTAGTCATATACGACATCGTCTCAGCAAATAATCCAACAAACAAACATTAAAATTCATAGGCAATAGGATTTGAGGAAATTTCGGAAAATCAGAGAGTGGCGCTTGTATTTTTAACCAACTGATATATTGTAGCTGTTTTATATAATAAAAGGTTTACATCAAGGTTCTCAAAACAAATGGTTTACATTGACATCTGGCTGTACAAAACGAATCGTGACGCAGTCGGAGTCAATCCACGTGGTACGAATTTATATAAATGGTCGACAACGGTACGAGCTTCTCTGGTCGATTTGCAATAGCTTGTTAAATATTCAAAATAGACAGTCACTTATCTAGATCGTGGATAGTGTTGTTCTTCGAGTGGTTTCTGTTTGGTGGGCTAAGTTGGCGGACTGATAAAGTCCTTTTCACGGGAAGCTTTGGCGCTAGAGACTCGTCCTGCCTCAGCATAGATCTCTCGACTGGAATGACCCCGGGGGTGGGACGCCGCTGGCTCTGGCCACGTCGGGATAACCTTCACCGTTGATGTGAACCAGCGTGATATTAAAAGCCGTGACCTTGTGAGCGTGAGACTCTTGCCACTAGCTTCCCAGGTACCTATTTAGTTTCAACTTTTACGGGCCCAAAACCGAGTAGCTGTGAAAGCGTCAGCGTCCGGCCCTTTATACGCCGGCTCCGCGCTACTTTTCAGGAAAGGGAGGAAACTTGAACTATTTCTCCTTTCAATCCTTTTTCATTTATCGACTCGTGGTATTCATCCATCAAGCATTGCGCCACAGATAACAAGACATGTTACAACTTGCACCCATAGGTGGCACATATGTTATTTGTAAAAAATATTTTCTTTTTTATTATTAAGTAAGATTATTTCTTATTAATTCATTTTTTATTGAGGCGCTTTGTTATATTTCAAATTTATAGAAGGACTTACGTGTAATAATTATGTTTTTTCGTAACTAACGCCAAAAATTAGTATTTATTAATAACTTTTTTTTTTCATTTAGATACACCTCTTGAAGTTTGGACTGCTTTAAATAAATTTGGGTACAAAACTTTTAGAGAAGGTCAAGAACAAGCTATAATGCGTATTCTCTCAGGTCAGTCAACTCTTTTCATTTCAGCTACTGGTTCTGGGAAATCTCTGTGTTATCAATTACCAGCCTATATTTTTGCAAACAAGAAGAAATGTATTACTTTAGTTATATCCCCTCTCGTATCTTTAATGGATGATCAAGTGTCTGAAATTCCGGAATTTTTGAGTGCCGCTTGTCTACACAGTAATCAAAGTGTTAAGATACGTCAACGTATTTTACAAAATTTGAAAGATGGCAAGTTAAATATGTTACTATTGTCTCCCGAAACAATAGTTGCAGAAGATAGATCGAATAATCTTGGAATTATGTTTCGTGACATGCCTCCCATAGCCTTCGCTTGCATTGACGAAGTACACTGTATCTCTCAATGGTCTCATAGTTTTCGACCATCATATTTAATGATTTGTAAAGTACTGAGAAAATCATTAGGCGTGAACACATTCTTGGGTCTCACAGCAACAGCAAATTCTTTTACTACTAAAAGTATAATAAGTGCTTTAGATATTGAAGATGAACTACAAGGCGTGTTAATGTATAATTCTTTACCTCCAAATTTAGTTTTGACAATTTCAAAAGACGAGAACAAAAATGAAGCTTTGATAAAGCTTCTAAATTGTGAAAGGTTTGATAAAAATAGTTCTATTATTATTTATTGCACACGTCGAGAAGATTGTACCAAGTTAGCGACATTTCTTCGTACTTTATTTCATAATGATAAATTAAGTAACCACACTTATAGTAATTCTGAAGTATTAAGTGCTAAGACTTTTGATACTGTCGAAGTATATCATGCAGGATTATCAGCTTCTAGACGTAAAATAGTTCAGAAATTATTTATGCAATCAAAAACGAAGATTATTGTGTCCACTGTAGCTTTTGGCATGGGCATTAATAAATCTGACATACGATCTGTTATACACTATAATATGCCAGCAAGCCTGGAACACTATGTTCAAGAAATCGGAAGAGCTGGCCGGGATGGTCGTCGAGCTACTTGTCATCTTTTTCTCAATTCAAAGGTATAACATTATTGTTTTAATAATAATAATAAAAACTACTATATAATACTAACAATAATGTTTTTGGATGCATAAGGGTGCCTTATAAATAAGTTTCAGTCGGTTACGAAAATGTAGTAAAGCTTTGATCAATGAAATATTTCATTTCAATGACAGTTTTAGAAACTGTGGGATTGTAATTTTGTTTATAGTTAAGAAGTCTAGGCTTGAAAAAACTTTTCCAAGAGAGCACCTGACTTTTACTCTGGTGATGTGATGATGATCCCTCGTTATAATACGTATGTGTACCAATATGTCTGTACAATATTATAATTATTTATTAGTAATGGTTTCTTTTATACTTGTAACTGTTTGTCGTGTCAACAGTCCTCCAATAATAGTACTTTGCTTCTCATAATGTTTAGTATTATGGTAAAAAATAATATATGTTTGTACGTACGTAAGTGGATTAGGATTATTTAAACAATTTAGTTTAGTTTAGGACCCTCAGCGAAAGTAAAATTAAAAAATTGTGTATTACTGAACTTAGTTTTAGAAATTAAGTAATAACAGAAGTACCAATGTAAAGAGTCTGAATTTTCTGTTACGAGGTGCGTGCGATGCGGATTTGTGAGGTGGAATATTCGACCTCGACCAGGCCTGTGTTGCTCGGACACCCTTGGAGACACTCCCTGTATGTTCTACGTGGGTCTCGTCCTCCGAGACTCCGCTGGGACCAAATATCGCGGCGACCTTGGTTGTCATCGCCTCTCGTGACTATCGTAAACACGGTACACGGGAAATTGGACACACGATGAAATGAACACTCGCGAGTAATATTTTGTAATAAAAGGAATATATTAAATAAAATATAATAAAATACAATGAATTACTGACCAGTGTGTGTGTATGTATGCGTGTGTGTGTGTGTTCATGCACGTCGAGCGCGAATGCAGGCGTCCCTGTTGACTAAGAGATGCCGTTCGTGGCATGTCGTCTCGTCGACCTCTAGCCCGTCGTCACATTCTTCCTTAGCACGCTCACGAAAACAGTGTCACAGCACCAACACTATACCAGGATGTCGCGTCAGGGGAAAACGTCGAGGACCGCCAAAGAATAATAAAATTCAAGAAAACGCTTCTCGTGTAAAAAAAAGCCTCGCTTCATGCGCGCTCAAAAGCCCAAGCTTATCTGCCTTTCTCTGCCTTTTCTTTCTGGCTCTCCTCCCTCTCTGGCCTACCTATCCCCTATACCCCTCTTTTCTCTCTTTCCCAACCTGCCCTAGTCTACTGATGATGGCTTGATGGTACTGTACCGTCACATCGTATAATAAAACATCTTATACTTTTTAAATAAATAAAAGTATTATACTTAATACATCATTCTTCAACAACGAGTTTTTCAGTGGATGTATTGTTGCTGGTCGTACGGGAAAAAATACCATCTACAGTAACAACCTTAGGTCATAGTTATTTTAATAAACAACAATGTACAAGCTTTTTCAACGTATGGGTCAACCACTTTAAATTTATTTCTAGATATCATAAAATAATATTTGTAAGGACACGTGTACAACAAACGAGCAATTTTGAAAAGGATGCCCAATGATTGAAACTCAATAAATTAGAATGCACAAATTTAACAGTCAGCTCTCACAGTGATACAGTCAACATTTATTACATGTATTTTTATAGCACATTCATATCATTTCAGTCGCGCAACTATCACATGTCAGTAAGTTGAGTCAGAAGGTTCATTACAGTAGAAATTCAGACCACACATCATTATTACAAAATAATAATGAAACAATACTGATATCAAAATTGAGCACTTCTAAATTAAAATTATAATAATATAGACAAACATCAGTGATAATATATTTTTAATACATGATTTGACGAATCACTACGGATATAACAAGATGAAAAAAGCTCTATGAATAATCTGTAAAGATGGTATAATCTTCTTCTGAAGAGCGGACGTATCCAGTTGTCAGAGAAAAATTATATACTCTTTCGTAACGTAAAGTAGATCACGTACCTATTACAACTGACTAACAGCTTAAACTTTTAAAAAATTTAATTTTCAGATACTTGCATAACGGCGTTTATATTATCTCTTGATTTTATGAAAATTAATTCATGTTTGATGATAGTCCTCACCGAAACTGAATATCATACTTAAAGGTATTGACACTTTAATAAAAAATGGCCATGAATAATTTATTTTTTTCTTTAATGTCTATAAAACCAACAATTTTGAATACTAAATTGCTCCTAGAAGGAAAACATCAATCAAACATCTTTACACTTGTCAATTTGCTTACCACTTAGTTAACATCGTATTTTTTTGAATAGATGGCAAATGGCATTAGTTTTTTCTTTCAAGAGAACCAGCATCTTTAGTTGTAATACGTCTAAAAATACATAAGAGACGTTGAGAGGCTGCGATGCATAAATCTTGATGTTGAATGAAGATACAAATTTCATTACTGCTATTAAACGCTGATGCAATATGTAATCGATATGCATGAATTTCGTAGTGCGCAACAAATTCGTTGAATTCAACATCAGACTAAATCCCAGGAATCTTCTCTAGTACGACTTTTTCTCGCTCGCAGGCAGCAAAAGGTAGCATAGGTCATTTGTCACCAAGAGCTTTTACTTTGAAGTGTAAGTTTTTCAAGAACTGCACATTTTGACGTATTAATGCTTTAAGCGTTCGTCGACGACTAATCCGTCTCATCCACTTTGGCTTATTCTCATACGTTTGTCTAGTTTGGTTGCATTGCCATTTTAGTTCAGTTGTTTTAAGAGCATTCTTATACTTATAACTTTTCTATGAAAATTAATCAAGTTACCTTCCCGATCAATAATGCGCACTTAAAGATGATGTATAGTTTAAACAGCAACGGGTGAATAAATTATTTGCAATGGAACTTCAACAATCTTGTATCGTTGTAGTACAATGTAAAAAAATTCGTGGATGGTATAAACTTTTTCTCCGTTTATATAGTCCCCACTAGTGATATCACACTCAACTCTCAATGTGTTACCTTCGAGAATAGCAACAGGTAAATTTGACTTGTACGTACTTGTATTTTGTATAATTTGTTCAGTAAAGCCAAAAAGATGGCATATAGAATCTTTTGGTTTAATGCCAATAGTATGACTACACTATGTCACACTGAGAAGAGTATTATTGTTTGATTCGATGCTACTAGCTATATCGTCGGGTTGTAATCTGTCGATCAGAAATAACTTTATACCTTAAATTTCATAGTTGCTGGTTGAAAAAACGACCACTTTATCGCCTACTAAAAATTTTTTATTACCTTCGTTGATACTTGGAATTCAATTAAATTTGATAGTTATCTGCTGGTGGCTACTCAATATGTTATTGATAAACTTAATGTCAATAATTCTTCCATGATAGTTTGTCAATGACCAATGTCATTATCAAGATTGTCCAGAACTTTTTATAGTTATGTTATGTTTGACGTATATAATTCCAAGATACATTATTAGTTTTATTGGTGGCTGCAGATCCCGAAAACTGCCAAATGATGTTACGTTTTTGCCTCCATTCCTATAGGCAACTCAATCAGTACCGGTACCATCCTTATCATCGGAAGGGGACTATTAATGATTTGAAAAAATGTAGACTGACAAAGCATTTCTCATGAAAACTCTACAGAAATGTGGTATTTAAAATTTTTTTGCATACTTGTTGAGGTTATACAATGTGAGAGCGTGGTAAGGCAGTTTGACGTAGGATGGTACATTACGTCACTAGGGTACAAAGTATAAACATGAGAGCCTAAAGGGCTAACTTGTTATATGTTTGTGCCTGAGTTACGTATATTGATTCTCTTACCGATTAGGAAAGGTGTAATTTTGGGTCCATAGACCCAAAGTGACAACAAAGGCGTTAATTGTTGCCTGAAGGTGTGAAGCGGCAGTTGCACTTTGTGCCCATAGTAAGAGTTTTTTTTCTATGTTTTAGGCCTTGTTAAGGCTTTAACTGTAAACGTCATTCTACATAGTTTTTAGAATAGCAATATTCCATGTAAGAGTTCTTGCATTTCTTTGTTATGCATCTTACTCTTCTCTAGTTGTTTCGAACAACTTTAGCATCATTGATAGCCTTGAGAACTTTGATTTGTAATGATGCAAAAGTGGCCTCCATGTTCCAAAATGCTTTTGCTGATGCAACGTATATACAAAGAGTATTAATTTGAAACTTCTTTGAACTCTTTGTTTTTCGGGAGCTGTATATATGCTAAGAGGAGGAGAGGACACCAACGGACAAACAGCTGAGTTGCAGAGACGCAGCAGCGCCTGCAAGAAAAGACAAGAAAAATACGAACGCGACTACCGGGACACACAGCAGCTGCTATGTCGAGATTGACTGCGAGAGGAGATACGTGGTAGCAGCAATGGCAGCGAGAGATCGTGAGTTAGTCTGGAGGAGAGTCTCGAGCTGTACGTTTAAGTGCGAGCAGTGAGAGCTTTGCGAGCTTAGAGAGGTTTGCGGATTTTTATGGCAAGAGAAGAGTGTGAGAGAGAGATGAGAGAGTTTTCGAGAAAGTGCGTAGAGTATTGACAGAATAGAGAGAAGTGTGAGTGGAAGTTTAGCTGCTGCTGTGTTCTCCCAGGACGATGAGATCTCCAGGTCGAGGACTATGGAAGCCGCTAAGACAAGAAGAAGAGGATAAGAGAGATAGAGAAGAGAAAGAGTGAAGCCGTAAGACAAACGACATGCTCAAAGACCCCCGACGACATCGTACTGAGTTTGACTCGTGGACGTTTGACCAAGAGGTAAGGCTAGAGAGAGAGAGAGAGAGAGAGAGAGAGAGTAGCGTAGACATTGAGAGAGAGAAGTTGTGTGTGGGTTGATGAGACGAGGTGTACGAGAGACCCCAAAGTGCATGCTCGGGAGTGCTGCTATTACTCGCCCGTTTGACGGGGGTGTGGGAATATATAGCAGAGTTGAGCGGGAGGGAGAGAAAGAGAGAGTAG